AGTCTGCAGAGAAGTCAGTGCAAGCCTTGCCACTGAGTTAATCCAGACTAAGAACCTACCCCAATTAGAACAGTAAAAGGTTCAGGAATACATTTTTAATCCTAAATCATTTCCAGACTTCAGTGTATCCCCATGAAGAAAGTGCATTGGGTTCACCAGGTAGCAAGCTCCTCTCTGACTTGGTTTTGCGGACTTTGTATTTCCTTACTGTAATCCTCCCCCAACCCCAGACCACTGTATGCAGTTTATTAAAATGCAAATCCTATTGCTTTTCTCCCCAGTGTCATTCTACAGTGTCTCCTGGGATAAAGAGCCAGTCATTTCTAATGAACTGTGGTTCTTACACAATTTAGGAACATCTGAAGCATTACACCATATAAATTACAGCCTAACTGCAACTTTAGCTCCAGTGTCTGTAGACTTCTTCTCTTGCTCTCTAACATTCTGGTAAAGATGCCGAGCACCTTATCTGCTGTTTTTTTATTATTATTATTTTTAAAATCTTTACTTTTCAGTTGCCCTCTGACTCCTTTTCAGAGCTGCATTTATACAGACTCCTTTACTCTTTACAATGTTTGGTTTGTGTAGTGACTTCAACACTGTCTTAGATCTAGGATCACACAAATGCTCTTGCGGTTTTGTGGTCACCACTGAAGATTGCGGTATGTGGTGGGCTGAGATATTTTTGCCAATAGGTAGAATACAGCTGGTTTTCATTTGAGAGGAAACCTGACAAGGCTAATACACTGTCACAATAACTCAGCACAAAACACTGGACTTCAGAATACTCTCCTATATTTTCTGAGCATACATAGGTGACTTGAACATCTCGGAGAAGAGGAACACAGAACTATCTATGCAGTGTATGTGTATTAATAAAACATGCATTTTTCTTTTGATGTGAAGGGTACTATTATCCCAAATGCTCCTATACACTGGGAACAACTGGCTTTTCTGGGTGTGAGGGTGGGAAGATGAGGAGGGAGAAGATGCTTGAAAGGTGGAAGCACAGTGGAGCATTCCCCTCTGGCCCTCTGCAAGTTTCAAACAGCTCCGGCATTGACAAGGATAAAGGGGTCAAGTTTAGAGCAAGCAGGGCCAGAAATATTATCATTTGATTCATAAGTATAGAGGATCACGAAAGCCACCAGTGGGATACATAGTTGTTTTGGCCCCTATTTCAAGAGAAGGTTGCTTGAGTATTAACAATGTAGAACTGTAAATTAATCTGCACCTTCCTTGTAGAAAGACAGGTCAACCATCTCCATCAATACACTATGCAATCCATCATCAATCACCAAAAATGTTTTGTAAAAGCACGGGCCTTGCTACACTGCCCCATGGGGTGTAGTTCAAAGATCGCCACGTTGAGTAGGTGAAGTCTTGGTCTGGAAATAGGACTGGAAGATGCGTGTGAGCAAAAGCAGATTAGACAAGTGTGGTAACATTTGCAATTCGACCGCATCAGGGGAATGAAACAAAATTTCTTCTTGGTGCTGGGCAGAACTACCAGTTCTCTGAGGGTCAGCCTGCTACCCTGAACACAAAACTGCTTTGTTCACTGTGATACGACAGATGGAGATCGCCTGCATGACCTAGTCTGAATTTTCATTTATTTGTTTTTAATTGGCATGTTATCAGGGCAAAGATCCACTCATATGGAGAAAAGGCATTACCCAACGAATAGCCAAGCATGGTGTTAGCTTCCCTCACGTAGATGGGAGTAAGTTTTACAAGCAAACTGACACATTTCTTTATAACAGTCTAGTATAACTGTCATTTGATTTTACCCATAAAAATCCTTGTATAAAAGCAACAACTAAGGAAATCATGTTCTGGGTCTGAGTTTCATAAAAACAGAATTGCACTTTTGATACAACTGCTCTTTTTATGATGTCTGTGAATAATTCTCCAATTAGATTTCAAATTACAGCCCTATGCAATTTTAAGAAAGCCACCTTAAAATCTCCTTGGTGTAGTCAGAAACAGACTAGTACCTGTATGTAGTCTGTAACTTGCTGGTGTCTTTGTTTGGCTGCAGCGACTTCACTGTCTGAAATTGCTTCCCTTAGGGACTGCTGGGTTTTCAGAGAGTCCAGCTCTATGACAGCAGAAAGGCGGCAATACAGGCTTATAAATTTTTCCTTGTAACAGCAAAAATGAACTGTGAAAAGACCAAATGCAGAGGAAACGCCGTTATATTCTGGTCATGAAATACGAAATCCTTAGCTTTCAGGACACAAATTTTATTCAATATAATTACTAACACTTCAGATGGGTTACTTTAAGCTAGAAATAAATAACACAGCCTCTAATTCTTCCCTCATTTATACTAGTTTACTCTTTAACGTCCCTAATTTCCAACAAATCATTCCTAGTTTATATCTAAGTGAAGGGATAATCAGGTTCTTAGCATGCGGCTCCAGAGGCTGCTTTGCCTTTGATAGCTTTAATCAGAAAGGCTGATTCTAAGGCTTTTATAGCTCATTATGCAATAGCAGGGTTCTTGTAACACTGACAGTCTAAGAATATAAAAGAGGAAAGGTTTTCAGGAAGGGGTAATTTCTTTTATCAGGCAACTAGTGATATGACTGGAAAATGGAACCCATCTTTTATTTTAATTGAGTGTTTCGGAAAGCAAGAATCATTTTGGAAGGTAATAGCTTTGTCTTGGGCTAGACGAACTTCAACTCAGTAACTCAGATGCAAGTGACTCGGCAGTAAAAGCATTTCTGGGATGTCACAACGGGTCATACAATTAATATTTTGTAAGTGTCACTAATTGCACACTGTCCCCTGCTCTCTTACGCAGAGCTGACCTCCTGCCTCATCCATTCGACTTGAGGAGGGCACAGAGCTACCTGAGCCACACGAGCAGGGCCGTGCGGCGGTGCCTCCGCTCCCCTCCGCGGGCCGTCTGCCTCCAGAGCCGGCACCACTCACGCCAAGCTTGCCAACCACCCCTGCAAACGGCAGGGCCGGCACAGCAAAGCCTGCCGAGGGAGAACGGCTTTGCAGAAATACTCCCTCATTCATTGGCACTCCAATAAATTCAAGCAAGAGCACAATCTCATTACAGCGGGGAACGGCAGCTGGCTTAATGCTCCTGGCTTGTGGGCTGACTTATTCTTTCATGTGTAAACAAAAAAAAAGAGAGTGAAAGAAATAATTCTACCTTCTGGCTTCCCAATGATGCCTAGATGTTGTAGGGATCTAGTCTGAATAGTGTGTGGTCTTACAGTATATATGCCATATGTGGTGGACTCTTGAGTGAATTACAGCCGCGGTTTCAGCTTCAGTGCTGAAGTTTCTAGCCTTTGTGGTTTTAAGTCAGACCCTTTAATGTTACTTTAACAAATGTTACTTCAACATAGTCTTTTGTGGTTATGCAATTATATAGTTGGTAGCCACGAGCTAATGGGGAATGGAAGCTTCTAATATTTGAGATGTGAATCACAACTATTTTATAGAACATCAGGGATACATATATAATAAGTCGTATAGAAAATGTCATCTGCATTTGGCCAGATGATTGCTTACTTAAAAAAAATCAAAACTTGAAACTCAGCCTTCCTAACTGTTTTTCTCCTCCATGAACTGCAGCAGGTCTGGCCCAGGATGCTATTTTAGAGACTGCCCTGTTGAATGTTTACCTGTACCACATCATCCCCATGCAGTCCCTACTGCGTTATCAGTTCAATGCAGACTGTGTCCCAGAGCAAACAGTGACTCTTGTCCAGGGCCTGTGCGCCACAGGGAGAGAGAAACAGTCTGCAAGACCTCTAGTGCAGAGATAACTCTCACCAGAGATGACAGGATTCATTAATTTGCACAGTGAATGCTACAGTCACCTCTCCCAGGCAGAAATAACATGCTTACTACACAGAATCTAACTGTAGACCTTGAGGTTACAGAGGATAGTAAATGTGTAGGACATGAAGTGCCATAGACATGTGATCCAAAGCAATGAACTAACTGTGCTTGTTCAGTTATCTTAGTTCTGTTTTGAAGGGGTAACTCTACCCTGGCAGACTACACACCAGCTCATACATTGTCTGTACCTCTCTCAAATTTCTGCTCACTCAGCTGTCAGCTGTTCCCCTGCTACGGGCATGAAAACCTGAAGCTGTCACAGGCACCACTCTGGGTGCTCTGGCTGATGTGACATGAACACGATTTTATGCTTCCACCTGATGCAAATCAAATCTGTGCTGCTGAAGGATGGCAGCTCACGGATCTGTTGTGCCTGCAGAACAACAGCCCTACTGAGAGCCGCTGTTACCACCAGGCATTGTCCTCCTCCATCACGGACTCTAATAGCACTTTGCAACAATAAAATGCTGGGAAATCCTCACCTTGGGAATTCCTACCTAGACAGTAATGCAATGGAACAGGAGGGCTGAATCCCGCTCCAGCTCAGCATGTGCTCCCTAAAGAACGAGTCTCAGTTCCAGTCTCAACCCAGCGTGAGCCCTCCTCACCATAACAGACTTCTCCTGCATCACAAAAATAGAATTGAGTCTCTCCTGTCTTCTTTTTTCAGGAATTTAAAGAGATGATTTGGATGTAGGAAATGACACTCACTCCTTGCACAAAGCTGTGAGGGCTCCTGACTATTTGTAATCAGGGATTGCAAAAAATCTCCTCTACAAAACTGCTAATTATTCTTCTGACAATTTAAAGGAATATTTAAATCTGCTTTCACAGCTCTAGCCTTTTTAACTTGTGTGTAATTTTCGGTTTTGTTTTCTAAAGAGCATCATCTTCCAAATAAACCTAGCCACATACTGGATAACTGTGGGCTTTTCTCTATGCTTTGCATTCCAATAACGATTGCTACAGTATACGCTTTAACTGCTCTGCTCCCTCTATAACTTGTACACAGTTATAGGTAGTGTTGTTGCCAAAGCCATCATGTGATTTATTGACTCTCCACTGGGACAAGGGGGAAAACAGATACAACTTTGTGATTTTATTATAAGGAGACTGGGTTAATATTTCTAGGTGAAGCAAGCTACTATACCGAGTTCAAACATCTGAAGAGGGAGGTTAAGAAATCCTGAGTGTGGGGTGTAAGGATTATTCTGTCCTGGGGCAGTGCAGACGTCGTCTGAGGCGGGGAGCAGGAGAAGAAAGGAGACATTGTGACCCAGCTCCAACACCTCCTGTGTGTACAGACGGAAGTGCTTAGCCTGTAGAGGGACACGCGCGGGGGAAGAAATAGGAGAGAATTACAACATGGCACTTATATAAACAACACCCCAAATGATATAAAACATTAAAGAAAATTTGCACGACATCAAGCTCGGAATTTTTATAAAACATAAATATTTGGGGGGGGCCCTAAATGTGGGTTCATGTCACTACATAAAATAAAGATTTAAAGCTGCAATGTTCCACATTAAAACAACACACACAGGCACAACCCCCCTGAAAACAACATTTATGTTTCTTATTAGGCAGAAAATGATCACATGCCATGTGCTTTTCAAGATTATGATTGCATAATTATGTGAAAACATGAAAATGGATTCAATTAAAAACCTTTAAGATTCAATTTAGGGTCGGTTAAGAGAAATATGCAGCTCTCCCTCAACACAGCACCGAAGAGTTTTAACAAGTGCTGCAGCAGGAGAAAACGGCACACACAGGAGCTGGCCTGAGGCTGCTGTACAGCCGCTGTGTGCTGTGCAGCACTGCATTTTGCTCTGCCTTTGCAAGTGTCTCCGGCCGTGATTCCATTTGCCAGAGTAATAATAAAAACACATAAATAAATCTGCTGAATCAAAAATTCAATTTACTGACCCAGAGGTTGGGTCCTAAGTCATCAAAGCATTCGCAATTGTGTTCAACTGCAAGATCACATTTTTGCCCGTCCATCATGCAGAGTGGATAGGCCAAAATGCTTGGCTGAACTGCAGCCTAATGAACAAACTGCACGTTGATTTCAGTATTTTAGTCTCTGGCTTAAAAAAATAGGATGCACAAAAGCTATGACCTCTAAGAAAATACACTGGCATAGAGATCTGTACAAAGCGCTATTGAATTAGAGTGACTGACCACAAGGCAGCACACCATCTGTCTTAATTTTGGATTTACTTGAAGCTTACTTGGCTCTTCTCTAGCTAGAAGGTGCTGCACTGCTGGATTCTTTTTATAAGTAAAGCCTAAACCTTTCAAAATCAAGAAATGCAGAACCAGATTAATTTATTCTAAAGCCACATCTTTCTAGCTGCACAAACAGACCTTGAAGAGAATATAAAGATAATTCACTTCTACTTTAAGCCATCTTACACTGGTAGACCAAAATACAATGGACTTTGTGTAATCAAGAAACAAATTCCTTCCTTAGCTTATTTCTTTGTGCATCTTTCACATCGTTGATTATCCTCACTTTACTTATTCACATATGCTTCTTTGGTACCTAAATTTGAAGTCAGAAGCCAGACACCTCTCCTCACTCACAGCAATCTGGAGGCCTGGAACCATGCATTTTTAGAAGTGCTGTGCTTACCTGTGTGTAAAAGAATTGCAAAATGCTGTGTTCTTGGCAGCTCTTGTGTGCACCCTTGCTAGTATCTCCACAGAACAGTCAATCGCCCTGCTTCCCTGGGAAAATACCTACCTTTCTTTGCCAGCTGGGCGTAAGGGTGCTCACAACTATGAGATGTGTGTGCTAAAGTGCCTGTTTGCACCTGCCTGAAGCTGCATAAGCATGCTGACAGACACAGAAATTGAAGCTAAATGAAAACTTGTCTCTTAATCCTTATATGTTCACATATCCAGGGAAAGAACCCTTCTTGGAGGTGTTCTCCCCACACACATTTAAGGTAACTGGATACAAAACTCTGCTTTTCTTTTCTTGCAACCTTACCATTTAATCCCTACTTGAAAGTTACACATTTTGTAGTTTCTAGTTGTGTTCCTAAGAATCAGTTTTATAAAAGGTGATAAATACCACAAAGGAAAATACCTGATGTGGAGGTAGATTGATCTGTTTAAGGAGAGCTTTCACTGCCATCTGGAGCTCATACAAGAACAATTGAGCAGGGCAGTCTGAAGTATGATCCATACTTTCCACAGATTCCGAGCCAGAAAGTGTTTGGATCCATTCCCACTCATCTCTGTATGTTGAGTCAAGTTAAAATTAGAAATATAACAAAAGTTCAGTGCACAAGGAGGAATTCAGTGTATGTGCATTTGAGATCTGTTGATAGTTTAATCCTCATATAGCAAAACATTCTAAAATTGTGCAATCCTGATTGTTTGTGGTTCAAAATCCAACTCTGAAAAGTTTAATTTTTCTAGCACATGTACATCAGGCTGAACACTCCTTGCTAACATCTGAAGGTCCAACTGCCTTCGATATTTCACCAAGGTTTCTCACTCCAGGTTTTCTTTTCCACGTACTTTATTCCATATCTACCACAATCTTTTATAAAGCATGCACTGGAAATGACAACAGTGACAATTATTGGGAAGTTTGCTTTCTGTTACAGACTCTCTGGTACCACTGGAGCCAAAGAACTTCCTGGTTGCTAGACATTTACCCATTCTAGACCCGATAAACATGGCAATCATCTTTCTGGATCTAATTCTTAATCCACCCTCCCCATTATTCCATCTTGAAAGGCTGCCAGCACCAAATGTTCCACAGAAAGTACAAGAAACCCCACTACAGGACGAATAATAGACATGGGACAATCTGCTCCTAAATAAAGATCTGATCTTAAACCTCAAGAATCAGAGACTGTTATAAGCTCTGAGGCATTAGGCTTTATATTACTTCCAAAATTGTTGTTAGTATTAGCTACTACACTCTGGATATCCTTGTTATGCATATAAAAATTGAGTTCCTCTTTGAATCACGCAAAATTCTCAGCTGGTGGCTGAAAGCTTGTGGGATTAAAAAGAAAAGAACCAGGAGAAGAGGAGAGGAGACGAGAGGAGAGGAGAGGAGAGGAGAGGAGAGGAAGAGAAGAGGAAGAGGAAGAGGGCACCACCAGGCAAGGACTCAGCAATGCAAATAAATTGGGGATTTGCCCAATAAGACAAGGGAAGGAATGGACAAAGGACTGGTGGAAAAACGGCTTTTCCAGTACCTAGCAGTTCCATATCTGCTAGTGTTTGTCTGAATATGTGTGTTCAGTTGCCATGTGTTTGCTGTGGATTCGGGCTAGAAACTACACAGTAAGTGCACTGAAAAATCAGGAACAGCCACAGCCAGTCCTGAAGAAAATCAACACGAAGGGTGACAGTGAATTCACCGGAGGCTCCATGAAGGCTGCAGGCTGTGATACCAACAGACACGTGGAAGATCATTACGGCTCTGCAGAGTCCAGGATCAGCACTTGAGCAAGCACAGCACACTGTCCACAGAAACCACGTGTACGTGTATGTTCTGGGGCCTTGAGAAATGTTGGGAATGGGCAGGTGCACCTCTTTAGTTCAGCACTGATCTCCACGGTCCACACCTGGGCCAAACTTTGCTGAAAGCTACGAAGTTGGAATGGTAACTCAGCATTTGCTTTGGAATTTGACGAACTGTTTCAAACTTAACACAAACGCTCTCCCTACACACGTGTATGTGAATACATATACGTATATTCACTTACTTGGAAACATTGCAGTTATCTCGGATTTTGACGTGACACAGGACATTAGGCAACTTCTGCAGTACAAGAACTTTGATTTGATCCACAGAGCTGCAGAGTTTAAGGTAACCCAAATACAAGCCAGGAGGGAGGCGCTGCTGACTTCGTTTGTGATAGGAAAGTATGTCCTGTTTTAAGAGAAACAGTCCTACATAAAAATCTCTTTTTTTTCCACATAAGCGGAAGAGTATGGGATCAAAAAGCAGCAAATGTTTTCACAGCCGTCTTTTTGTTTCAACACTGTTCCCAATTCGCAAAGCATTTAAGCACATGCTTAAGCATATAAATAATCTCGGGTAGTTTGGATGCACTTGGACAACTTTCTACTGCTGCATACAGATACTCAAGTTCTCTGTGTCCTGCAGGAACTGGCCCTAAAAACCCGAGGTTTCACATTCTGTGAACTGTGCTATTTAAATTAGCTTAAATAACACCCATCTCTCTATTCCTGTCTGATCATTTCAGCAGCGAGCTGTGTCAGGGAACTGATTCAGACAAAAACAACTCAGGAAAAGAAGCTGTTCTTTTATTATGTTATTTTATTCAGCCAGAGCAGTTCCCCGGTTTGCCTTGGTGTACAGCACATGTGGAGCAGAGCAGCACAGGGTAAAAGCTGTCTGCTGGGGAAGGCAGGAGAGGGGCTGCAGAAGCCAGTACTGTCACCAGAGAAATGCTTGCAGAGTCACAAGAGAGCCAAGGTTTCTCAAAATGCTTGCTCTGTATCACTTGCTATCAATAGGGAAATCTCTACGAGCATGGGGGATGTTGGTTTGCAAAGTTTAATTAATGGCTATGTTCTCAAAACAAGCATCTCCACCAGCAAAAAGAGCTCGGAAAGAATTAATACTGATGGCGTATTTGCTGAAGCCAGGAGACGTTTTTAAGGCTACAGCAATCCCTGAAGACTACCCTAAAAATGATGTCTGCTGCCATCCTTAGAAATGTGTGCCTTTGCAAAGGGTGAGGATTAAGACACCTGGCCTTATGCCTTTACTCTTGGAACCATCAAATTATCTGCCAATGCTATGCTTGGCTCTGACCACCGCAATTAGACCCTCATTTTCACAAGCACTTCATGAACAAAATACCCATTCGATGATTAAGCAAGTAATACAAGAAAGGGTGGGCATTAGATAGGAATGTGTAAACCATTAGGGGAACATTTTTTCCACTAGGATCTCTGTGGAAATCTGATCAGGCCTGTATTGTGGGTTTCCTAATATAAAACTTTTGCCCAGATTGACATTTTTCTACACCTTTAACACATTTTAATACAGTAAATCTAACATAGAGCAGGTAAGTTTTATTGTCTTTTGGAAATTTTTTAACGTTCCTAAGACTTGGTAATGTGTATTTTGATCGCCTGTCAGTTTCCGGTATCAAACCACAGTCTCTCTGAAAAAAATTCCTCTAATTCAAAAATTAGCCACAGCAGTTGTCATCTAAGGTGACTAAAGAAGAAACTAAAACAACAATTTGTGTTGTATTATTTTCAGTAACTATGCAACTTACTAGTTTCAGAGAGAAAAGAGACTGGCTAATGACACTTAACAAGAAAAAAAGTTGCTCTTACTTACTGAAAATATTTATCAGTCCTACTGTGAACTATACAGATGATTCTAAGATGATTCTTAATGGTGCTGTAAATCTGTGACATCCGTGACAGCTAAAATCTGTGTTTTTAAGTGGGAAGTGCCTAAGCACGTTCCAGGACAAATCCTTTATCTTGGTACCATTCTAAACCTAAAGCCTGTCAAGCAAAAATTAAATGAGAGATATGCTCAGTAAAGAATTCTTCAGCAACAAAACGGGGTTTTCAAGAAACTCTGAACCCCAAAGAACAAGTTGATGAAGAGGAATTGTATGGCTTTAAAACATACAAGCTTTAGTGTTCAACCTTGGATGGAAAAATCCTACAGGGTGTAGAAACTGTAAGCATCTGTATAGGTGCTCAAGAACATCCCAGAGAATTTTAAAGGGTTTTATATCCCTCGCTAAAGAATATCATCATATGGTTTCCCAAAACTGATAGAAATTGCACCATTCTTTACTAGAACTTAAAAGCTATTTCTTTGGAATCTTATGAATATTTCACATATTAAGGATATGATCCTAGCCCCACTGGAAGTAACACAAGTCTTTGCTCTTAACGGGAATCTTGCCATTGATTTTATTGGGCACTGGATTAAGGCCTAAAATTCTACAAGACTCTTCCAAAAATCAGTGCTTTGGCATTGGCCTTAAGAAAGCAAACAACGTAGGGTAGGAGAAACAAAGTACTACCTGGATAGTTATAAGCAAGATGTCTAATGCTGTTGGCTCCTCTGGAGTTGAAAGGGATTTCCTTTGGCTTTGTAGTTTGGATATCTGCATCCATTTGCCATTAAAATATGAATAAAGACTCTCCACTTCTCTTATAGTAACTATCAGTATATTGCCATGTCGATCCTTGATTGGCTCATAATAAACTCTGCCTAAGTTGTGAGTCCCCAGCAAATTCTAGAAAGCAAGCAAATTATAAAATCACAATGTTATTTATCGCGGATGAGCACAGTGTTTTTTGCAACATAACTGTGCTTCCCGAAATCACAATGAGCTTTCTTGTTGACTTCAGGAAAAGCTAAACACGCAGCACTTCTCCAACCCGTGCTCTACAGGCACATCATTCACCGACAACAGCAGAAATTTTGCCCCAGGTTGCATTTAGGAACTCATTTACGGATCCTCCAGTTTTTTGTTCCAGTGATTTTAGCACAAAGCCTACCATTGGATCAGTAGGATCATTATGATCTTATTTGCGCCCGTGTGAAAACGGTGTGTGCAATTTTCAAAAGCTGTTGGCCTAGCGGTGATTCTTTTGCTATCCACGAAGCCCCTCTGGCCTGGACAGTGAAGAGTAGATGCTTTACCTTAACCTCCACATGCCCCCAGACACCACAGATGCAGGATTCCTCCCCTATCCCCAAATCATTCATATCGGATACTTCAAATGCCTTCTGTTAGGGTCATTAACTATAATCTCAGTTTTCTGTTCTCTGTTTTAAAATGATGCAGATTATTTTCAGGAGGCCCTCAGCTCTGAGCCGAAAGTAAATAATTGTGGAGTTAAATGATGGAGCATGCTAAGCAACACAAAGGATTCTGAAGAGCCACGGACCCTTTTCCTTTTTACTGCAGATACCAAGAATGTGCTAGACAAAACCAGCAGAACTAACAAACTCCTAATGCAAAGCTCTCCAGGAAACTATGTGAGGATTAAAGAAAAGTAATTTTAAAAGACTTCACATAAAATACATAAAATACATATTTTGGTCAAAATCCTTTTCCTCACACAGTAAGGCATCTGCTTATAGGTGCAAACACACTCACTCCAGTGACCAGCCACTGAAGAGATTCCCAGATGTCTTAAAGAAAAATGCCTAACATTTAAAATATGCTCATTACTCTGGGACTTTTCAAGAGGTCTACAGTAAGGAAGCTGGATAGGGATAGGAGCAGTTTAAAATGAAAACCTGAATTCACAGTGTAGCACATTGTATATTTAGGGAACTGTACAACTGTACATTAACTTAATGACATTGTAAACTAACAGATTATTCAGAATTTACTTATTTGCACTTAGCAGACAATATTTATTTAGAAACTGTATTATTAAGCTGCTTATAAACTCCAAATAGTCAACACAGAAGCTGGCATATATGTGGCATAACTTAGCTATTTTAGCTTTATGCACCCCTCTCTAGGGTGTGCTGTTGAAGACTAGCTACACTATATCCTCTTTTACAGGAAACTTTTCTGATGGTTGACGTTAGGCTCCATAACTGAGAATCTTAAGTATATATTTTGTATTAATCCACGTGCCCATCGGTGGAACAAATCATGGCAGCTAGGTGTAAGTCATCTACTCATCACACTGATTTAATCTTTACAATATATGAATGTGCCTAGATGAGACAGCAAACAGATCTTCACAGTCATTGTCAACGCCCTATTCTGAGTGGCATTCCAGCAGGAAAAAAGGCAGTACATACATGAGTAGGAATATAGAGCCAATTCATATACTAAAAAGGTTTTGTGTGTGCTCATGTTGTATCTCTTGTGTTTGGCTTGCTTTAGTTGTCTAGTATTAAGAGCAGGCAAAACTACAGTCCCTGCAGTCTCTGGATCCACTGATCTAGCCCTTAGCAGCTGTGTTGTCACTGATCTTTTCAATTCTGCCCTACATTCCTGTGGAGTCAGTCTGTTGCTGCCTCAATAAAAGGTATTCAAGCGTATAAACTTTACTGAGATCTTTCAGTTGGTGGATCCCATTAGGCCACAGGCTGTTAAAGGCTGACAGATCATTGATAATGCATGTGTTCATCAGGGGACCACACTAACAGAACAAACACTAAGGACAATAAATTTTCTACAAATCCTACAGAGCAATACACCCCACATGGACATATTTGCCATGGCTTCAAGTTCTGTTTTTAACACTGCTGGTAGTGAGTAATAGCACTAGGAATTGTGAGCAGCTCAAAGAGCGGTCTCTGCATGCTAGCACCACTCCGTTAGGGAAAATCTGTGTAGGAGAAATGAAACGGAGCTAACCAAAGGGATATGGGCTACCTAGGCTGGGCTATGCAGCCCGCAGGGAACACTCAGCAGAACTCAGAGTTCACGCTGTCCCTGGTGACAGCCCACAGACTGACAAGCAGCTGCTGCTTAGCGCAGGTGGTCCTCTAATAAAGGTGGAGCAGGCTGGCATGCCGTGTATTTTGGGACACTTTGGGGAAATCAATCAAGACAGGTGGCTGCCCAGAAAGGCTACTCCCCTGTATGGATTTCTGTGCCGAAAGATGTGAAACAACCCCCACACGGATATTCTTAATAATACCCACAAAGTATGCGGCTCTCATAGCTGCTATAAAACCCAGGTTATTACACTGACTGGCAATAACATGCCAGTAAGACTAAAGCACAAGCCCAACTGTATGACGATCAACCACTCCGTGATTCTGTGATCTGCATTAACTCCAGAACTGCATTTTATTATGCAAGGTCCTCAAATCAATGAAGTTTAGAAGAGCACTATTATCAGTAATTATTTGCATCTGAAAGCTTTGAGGCAGAATACAGATGCAAAATAAGAAGCCAGCCATGAGGTACAAACAAAATGTGGGAGAAAGTGAGGCCTGGGCATCCTTTTTCTAAAAGAAATGCAGGTCTCCAATGAAGTTGGATGGGATGCTGGTGTTAAATTCCAGGATTGCTTCCTGCTGTAGTCCAGCATATGGAGTGCCCGTCAGCATCACATGGCCCACAACACCGTAGCCCTGTTGTGTGTCAGACACGGTGCTCTGCTCTAGCTGTTCTTGTGCAGCTTGTAAGAGGCAGGAGAACCAACCTCAGCACCCTTCTTGAGCTACTTCTCTAAGTACCCTGATAGCACAAGAGAGTACTAAGCCTCAAGGAGAGTCTAAATGTTTCATTAATATATTAATAATGAATATGGAAAAGGGAAGTCCAGAGGAAGAATAATGAATAGGCAGGAAGTCATCAGCAAAATCAATGCAGGATTCTGAGCAGTGAATATTAGGGTTAGAACTCCTGCATTCCCGTTCTTCAAACCCACTGCCTGGCCACATGATGACCACATTTGTGGTCATTATTTACTGTTTCATATCTATTTGTTTCCTCTTCTGCCACTATTGTTTCTTTCCTTCCTTCTTTTTCCTACCAGTATCATTAATGTAACTCCTTTCTTCCAGCTGGCACGACAGGCTTAGTAGCTCACTTCCCTGTGATAACGTTACTCTAAAGAATAGGTTAACGAAGAGCGGAGCAGCAAGGACAGCTGGCAGTGCTTCCCCTTAGATACCAGAAAGTCACTGAAATTAATAGGTGAAAATATGCAAGGCAACCGACCTGTAGTTGTGCTGCTGCTGAAAGCATCTTTTGCCTGGCCTGAAGTGCTGTTGATGAGGACACGGATATAGACATATTCTGCCTCAGCCATCTGATATCATCCCACATACAAGACAGCTGCAAAAATATATGTCATTCGGTCAGTCTTTGTTCCCAGCATTTACAAAAGCAGAAATGAAAATAAAAGCATTCTGGACTTGTAAAAATCAGCTGATCTTATTCATCAATTTGATTTTCTATGATGGCAATGAGCTGCCTGGGTGGAAACAGGTATCAAATCACAGGCACAAGAGGTGAGAGACAGATAAAGCACTTTGACATTTAGCTTCTCAGTGGCATCATTTGATATACTAAGAATGATCAGCCGAGGCCCATGCAAAGTCTAGCACCAAATCTGCAAAAGCAATATATGAAATTAGGTTCCTACTACCTTTGTGAACCACAGGAAATCCTGCATGACTGAACTACTGTGAGAGTCATCAATTTCCACAATTGGAATTTGATCTTCATTGGTTACTAATAAGTTGTCCTTGTAAAAAAATATAACAGATAAGTAGAGTCCCCTAAAGAAAGACAGAAACATTAAATCAAAAACCCTTCATGTCTAGTCAAATGCACACCAAATCTTAGCTAATACAAACCTTAGCCAAAGAATCATACATTTTAAGTGCTGAGGAAGCAAATCTGATCACTTGGTCTTAACTTCTGTGTTATACAGATCATGCAATTTCAGCCAGTTAATTCTGATAAATACTTGGGAAGCTCATCACGTCAGACTACAAAAATCTAATATGTTACGAATCTGGGAGATCCACTGACATCAATTTTAGAAAGAATTTTTTTAGAGTAAAGAGCAGACAATGGAGGCTTTATGACCTCCAGAAATTAGGAATTTTAACAAAACTTTTTATCAGAAGTTGGCTTAAGGTCTGCCCTCATTTACTTTAGAGCAAATCTGTAGAAACGCAATTGAAATCAGAAGGGTTATTATGGATTTATGTTAGTGTAACTGAGTGCAATTTGGCTAGAATATCTGTGGAACTGTTTATAGAAATCATCCCTTTCAATATTTACCTTTGCAATTAGTTACATACAGTAACCAGCTGCCTTAGGGAATGTAAAGACCCTGGAGAGCTCTTCCAAAAGAAACAAGCTCATAATCCAAAAGAATCAAAATCGTAATACAGAGAAGAAAAAGCAAACTGAACACTCACAGCAATGAAAGATTAAATAATGCACTCTAAAAAACTTTCATTTGCTAAAAAACCCTATCAGGGCTGAAGGTTTTTAGGTCATACTGGGTTGCAAATCTGTATTAGTGATTGCTAGATGCACTGCTTCTGGCCAATAGAATATTGGTATCTCTTAAAACAGCTTATCTGACTCCTGCATTGTATACTATGAATGAAGTAAATTTTACAGTCTCATTACAGAGCAGCCAGAGGCAGTACTTCAAATAATACTAACTCTATGTTTGTATTTGCATACAATATTTCACACTGTTACCATTCAAATCCATTTTCAGTAAAAACAATGAAAAGATTGCTATTAATTTCAGGAGGAACTGGAATGTTATTTGCCAAATAGGTGCATCAATCTTACATATATGCAATTTTATCAGGTTTATTGCAATTCTGTTTAATTGGGTGTAAAATTGGTTTACTTCTATTTTTGAGGTCCTTTTCACTATTACAAAACAAAAAACAGCAAGCTAAAATTCAGCATATTTAGGAGATAGATAAAATGTATGACAAACCGTTTCAGAGTCTTCACAAACTTGTTTGACGAATGGAAAAGATGCTTCAGACTTCTAGATACTGACTGCTTGCGACCAGCATTCTGTAATTTAGAGCTTTCTAAAATGGAAGTAAAAACCAAACCGAAACTTAAACTTCAGTTAGCATCTCGTAATGAACCTTTGTTGCTTAAATCATAGTACTAAATTTCAGTGTGTGCCCACTTTATTCCTTTCAACAGATGACATTTAGAGACATGCTCATAATACAACCTTTTGCTTATATTTTCATTATGTTAGTGGTATGGGTAATAAAACAATTTCCTAAATCCCAGAAAACTCAGACCCAGGAAAAATATTGCTTTGTTCCTAGGAAAAGTAGAGCCTGAACCAGTACCAGATACTCTCTGTCTTCATCTGGTTGCTTGAAATAGATTTCTGACAGTCATCTAAAAAACACAAGAGTGCCACCAGTCAAAATTTCAGGATATTGTAATCCCTTCGGTTTATGCCCATTATACTCTTAAACTTCTAAGAACGGAGTAATTAGTCCCCTGGCAATCACTAAATAACATAGCAAAATCAATAATTTATTTTAAATAAAACTGTCCCTCTGCACTCTCTCTCATCTTTCTTTGCATCTCATTAAATGCATGGCCTCTTTTTGGGAACGCATCTTTTTTTTTCCTTTCACACTCACCTGAATTGCCTCAAAGCTTTTGCAGTTACATTTGTTCTAGAGGAATCTCGAATCCAAGGAAGAACTGTTTAACTCGCCTCATGTTAAAGCTGAGGACTGCTCTATGTCTGCAAGGACCTCAGAACAAACTCCCACAATGCAAAAAACAGCCTCGAAATTAAATATTTGCCCAATATTCTAAAAAAGAAAAGAGGCTAAACTTGTATTTATTGTGTCGCTTACAAAGAATATGACTGCATGTCTTTTCCCACGTGCCTCATGTTTCCCTTCCCTTTAAACGAAAGAAGAATCTTCCACTGGGAACGAAACCCTCACGCTCTTTGGAACAGCTGTGTCCACCTGTGTATCTGTAAGCAGGTTTTAGGGGATATGCCAATAGGTGGCAGTCAGGAATATGCAGCACTGTGTATGGATTTCAGCATTGTCATCGTCATTGGTTGCTATCTTTGCTCAAGTTTAACTGAAAAGTCACACATGTCTTTCTACATATGGCTTTTGAAAAGAATGGGCACTAAAAACTCTTTTCTTGCATTGTCTTAGTGATGTCTCTCCTGTTGTAAGGGAATGAGCAAAAACAAAGTGTTCCAAAGATTTAAAGTCTTAAGATATTTCCTATGAGTGGAAAAGGAAAACAACGAGAAGAATAAATTGTGAAATTACACCTCATTTTCCAGGGTCAGACTATGTTCTCTGTATTTGAACTATGGACACTTAGAAACATTTTGAGGGCCACCCCTCTCCAGTTTGCTGAAGGCTGCTATCAGTCTGCTCACATGTTCACAGACTAACATATTTTCCTGTTACCTCCAGTGCAAGAAGAGAAGGTGTCTTCTTAATGAGTTCTAAGTTTGAACATTTAAAGAACATCTAAATTTGCTTCTGTCAAAACCCCATCTGTGGAAGTGTTCAACATATCTTTAAATGATGAATAAATTTGCACCGTAATTTGCACATTGAAAACCACAGAAAGAAGACGCATTGTTAACATAATTATCACTGCTGAACAGCAAGTACAAAGAGAACAAGACTTTACTGGGGCTGAAATCACACAACTCAGATATATATTAGATCATCAAATCCATTGTCTTTCCAGGGCAAACTAAGTTCTCCATGGCATATTCTCCAATGTGCTGTTCAATTTAGTTTCCAAAATCTCGCTGAACCGTGACTGCTCCTTTGAAGTAACTGATCTTTGTTTTCTTTTTTAATTTCATTTTTTTATCTAGTCTTATCTCCACAAATCCACTGTGAGCTTTTTTTCAGCATATCACAATAATGTAAACCAAATGCTACATGAAAACTCCTGTCTTACTGTTTCCTTCTTCCAAGGTTAAGACCTATATAAGAATATTAAGTTCATCCTAATTGTGCAGTTTTTATTTTCTCCTGTATTAAGGGCAGAGGGAATGGAAGAGGAAATTGCTAACTGCAAAGCAACATAAGTGTGTAAACCATCCAGAGACCGCAGCATTAAGCAGTAAAGTAAGAGGGTACCTTACAAGAGAAATATAGGTTATTGGTCTATTCAGTGGTTTGGGTTTGCTCCATAACTTCTTAGAAGCCAGCAACAAAAGAAATAATGTAAAGCTACATGAAATCTGGAAACTTCCCCCCCACTGCTGTTTGCTTTTGTTTTACTGTGTAGTGCATTTTAAGCCAAAAACATGGACCTGGGATTAGAGGATAATTTAGATCCATAGGAAATGGAACATTAACAGTCTGTTATTTAATTAAGTAATAAATAACACAGAATAACCTTTATAGTAAAACATCAGTAACAACAAAATAAACTTATATTAATAAATGACACACCAACTGAGCTGTGAGCTCTTTTAATAAAAGCTCAGCAACAAACATGGCCTAGAACAGATTAGAGCATGTTCAGCGAAATTTAAATCGGGAATATTCCAGTGTGGATTGAAACAGGAAATGAAGGGCTGAGGTGCATTTCCAGCACAAGTGCTCTTTCTCTTGCAGGGCAGCATGTCTGTTTCTGTGTTGTTCCCCTCACCGCGGCAGCGCTGCGGCGCGGCTCCCGGCGGGAATGCCGGGCGCGCGGGGCCACGGCGCGGCTCCCGGCG